AGCCAGGTGGAGGACTGCGTGGTGTGGGTCTGCAGGAGCAGCCAGGTGGAGGACTGCGGGGTGTGGGTGTGCAGGAGCAGCCAGGTGGAGGACTGCTTGGTGTGGGTCTGCAGGGGCCTGACAGCAGCAGGGCCGTTGAGAAAGGTCAGGGTCACCCAGCATGATGGAGAAACTGAGCTGCGGGAGATATCCAACATGACTTTCAAGGTAAAAATTGGCCAATCAGGAGAACGGTGTGATCACCAAGAGGAAGTACCAATTTAAAGTTTAGCCGCGTTGAATTTAAACTGAAAGAACAGAAACATGAGTCGAAACAGGGCCACATATGTACATTTAAGAGTCACCCAAAAAACAAAGTTGAGGTCATGAGTAAATTCTTCTACAAGCGCAGGAGTGAGTAAATATGTGTGTGTACACGTGTGTATCAGAGAAAGAATTACTCAAGAGAAAAGTCCACACTCACAAGGATACAAAATAGACTGACGAAGTCCAAGAAGAAAATAATTCCTTAGCTGTAAACAAGTTCTCTTTCTGAACCGATTCCTCTATTTTTAATGTATGCATATTTTCTACAATTTCCTACACTTGTTCTATAATTTCCCTTTAGACCTGATATACCCACAGTGATTCTAGCTGTGTTAAATCTTCTATGCCTTAGGCAACAAACTTTTTCCATAAAAGATGAGACAGTAACTATTTGAGGCTTTCTGGCTTTCTAGTCTCTGTCATAACTACACCGCTGTATGCATGTGGAAATGGCCACAGACAATGCATGAGCAAATGAACAGGCTATGTTTCAATAAAACCTGAGGTGTGAAATCGGCATGGGCTGGATCTGCCTGCAGGTCATAGTCTGCCTTCCACTGCTCTATCAGGTAACACACCAAATCACCATTTTGTCACTGATAAAGTGAAAACAATTTAGTCTCACTTTGATGTTGCACACATTTCTAAAACATGGTTTTGACTGGAACCTGGACATTATGGTAATCGTGCATGTACATACCAAAAGGAATGTCAAAGTCATCCAAAGGCTGAGAACCATCACGTTCCTGCTGTTCCTGAATGAAGTTCCCAAATGATTAGTCTATAATTAACTCAAAGGCATTTATTATTTTAGTAAATAATAAAAATATTCAATAAAAATACCTAATAGGTCTGAAGATTTTTTACTTTTTAAGCTGAAGTTCAGTTACTAGAATTCTATAGCTGAACCTCTTATTATGTATTCTATCAAAGTAACTTCACACATTCACTAGGTTCACAAGTCAAGCAAAAAAGAGCATTACTAATGTAAGGCAGTTATTATTATAATTCTTCCCTGCAGGGTAGTTTTGATATGCAGAGTTTTGTACTCCCATCCTATCAAAATCTTTCACTTACTCAGCAAATAGTTTAACTAAGTGCCTATAGATATGTTCTTGATGAATTACTAAAGAAGTATGCCTTTTGAAAATCCATAGAAACCATAAAACTGTTATAAAAACAGCTACTGTCACCAAATTTATAGAGAACGTTTGCAAAGACTTTAATTAAAATTTTTGTTGGTTATATAGCCTTCAAAACTAACTTTGAGAAGTCATAGGGGTACCTCAAGGAAACAGGTAAATCGATACCAAGGGCCACATAGACACTGCAACACAGACAGGAAAAGCAGAAGGCTGAGGCTCTAAGCTACTGTTGTTAATTTGTCACCAACCTGCCACTCACATCTGCAATTAAACGCCCACCATTCCACTGAGGTAAGCAGTGGGGCCTATATACTCCATGATATAAAAGATCCTGCTTATCACACTCAAAGGTTGCCAGCAATCAGCAGGCCAGATCAACCTCAAAGACACAGTGAACCGGGGAGAATCTGCTATAACTTTGGGATACCTTGGGTCTCATCTCCGAGTCATTATCATTAATGACGGACTCCTTTGGTTGGAAAGTCACGCAGGATTCTTTTCTCAATTTCTCTGAAGTTTTTTCTTGCAGCTCTTTCTGAGTTCGTCGTCTTTGCCTGTTACAAATAATAATAAGGAACAAACATCAGTCTTTCATTTTGATCACACTACAGGGAGATAGTTATTAAAATAAGGGTAACGTATTATTAGTAGAATATAATTAAATTAGCAAACTATTTATCCCTCTAACATGCAAGCAAATATACGCAAAACATCAAGAAAACATGACACTGATTTCTAGTTCCTCTATTCCTGAACTGGCTCTTCTACTGGGATCCCAGCTTAGGTCCACACGTTTTAGGTGATTTTAAACTTTTTCCTATTTTAAGCCAATTCCAGAAACCAGACTGGATACCTTTATCTTTCTTGGAGTTAAACACTTAATCATCTCAGTTAAATCCTATCAAGATGGCAAGATGTCTGGAAAAGGCAAGGGAAAGACTTATTTTGAGGGAGGAATACATGGGATAGATAGAAAGAAGGGATGCTTTGGGGAGAGTTCTATCTGGATTTTAAGATCAGATAAATGTGAAATTTTTTTAATGTTTGCAAGACTCAGTAATAAGCTGTCAGTCAACACATGCAGTGAACATTCATTATGAACAAAACATTGTCATAAGCTTTTTTTAAGTGGAGGCATAGCCTTACTATTCTCTTTTCACTAACTGCAGGCAAGTGTGGTAGCATAGTGGGTTACGCCCTGAGCCGTTGGCCATGAGTTCAGTGGTTCAAACCCACCAGTCACTCCAAGGAAGAAGGATGACTGCCGACTTCTGCAAAGATGTCAAGTCTCGGAAACTAACAGGAGGTGTTCTACTGTGCTATAGGGTTGCTGTGAGTTGGAATCAACTTGATGGCAGTGCACTAGCCCCTCCCAAGAGGCTGCGAGGTCGTCTGCTCCTGTCAAGATTTACACAGCCTTGGGAGTCCTATATAAGGTTATGAGATGGCAACTACTCAATGGCGATGGGTTTTTGTGTGTATGGGGGGGGGGGAATTCTTTTCCATCTAATTTTAATTTTTGTTGCTGCTTTTGAGAGTATGCACAGCAGGACATACACCAATTCAACAGCTTCTGTATCTACAATTCCGAGACACTGACTGCACTCTTTCAGCTGAGCAACCATTTGCACCCTCCGTTCTGACCTGATCCTGCTTCATGAACTCGCTGCTCCGGAGTCTCTCCTCTAACGCTGTGAGCAGCTGTTGCCAATGTGACCACATATAGATCATTCTTACAAGAGCACAAGAATCAAGGTATGTTCTGGGTGCATTCAGTTAAACTCGTATTGGGGCAGCAGTTTAGGGGGTTCATCCAGCCTTGCTGGGTCCAAGAAGAATGAACTACCAAGGGAATTTTAAGTTCTATTATGCATTTTTCTCCCTTTTGATAAGAATTCCTCTATAGACTCTGGTCAAAATATTCAGTAATGGTTACTGGGTACCAACTGGGTCCCATGGAGCTCTGCTGGTCTCAAGGCAACACAGTCCAGCTTTTCACCCACATATTTCCTAGTGCCTGCAAGTAAGTTATATCACCTAGCCTTTTGCTTATTAGAAGTCTGGAGAATTTTATATAATGAGTAATTGTTATCTTAGTGAATTGGATGACACATGGAATATTGCTTGAAACACCAAATATTGGTGCTACAATATATGCCTGCTCATTCTTTTAAAGAAAAATGTAAAAGCATCATCTAGCCTTAAAATGGCAGGAAAGTATTCTATGACAGAATTGACCAAAAAAAGCCTCGTAAATAAGAATTTTCCTCATAGTGTTCAAATACATGTTGGTTTTGGTAGGTACCTTCAAGCCAACAGCGGTCCTATGTACAACAGGACAAAACACAGGCCAGTCCTGCGCCGTCCTCACAATTGGTACATTAGAACCCATTGTGCAGCCACTATGTCAATGCGTTTCCTTGAGGGTCTTCCTCTTTTTGGCTGTCCTTCTTTAGCAAGCATAATGGCACTCGTTTCTTCCCTGACAACATGTCTGGTCATTTCCTGCTTCTAAGGAGCATTCTGGCTATACTTCTTCCAAGACAGGTCTGTTTTTCTGGCAGCCCGTGATACTTTCAATAATCTTTACCAATACCTAACTCGAAAGTATCAATTCTTCTTTGGTCTTCCTTACTCATTATCCAACTTTCACGTGCAATCTCAACAACAGAACTTTTCCTACTTCCTTCCTGTGCTTACTCATTCTAGTTCTTCTCTTGTCCTAGCAGCTTCTTGTTTTCTGAAGTTTATCCCTGAGCAAAAGCTACCCTTTTGATCTCAGAGAGTTGGTTGTTTTAGGGAATGCACACCTCCCTGGTGTTACAAGACAGACCTTAACTTACAGGCCTGTCTACTGTTTGGCTTACAGTTAAGTCACGGGGTTGAGTTCAGTTCCAGGCTTGCAGGGTATCTAAGGATCATAGGCCATATAGTCTTGAGTGTTCCACAAGTCTTTATCACAACTGTAAGCCTGCTGGCTGACAAATTCTTAAAGACAGTTAGGAGCAAATCTTGTTCTAATTCCAGGAATTGTCTGTAATAAAAAACTGACTGATATATGATGTTCTTAATTAAAATTTCACTTAAAACTTGCCTTCTTTTATTCTCCTTTTCATGTTTCATTTCAGATGATTCCATTTTTCCATTTAGAAGCTGAATTTGTCCAGGATCGCCTTGTCCAAGTAAGTTGTGTGCTTGTCTCTGTTGGTTTTGTTTAAATGCAAGGAGGTTTTCAAGTGGGATAAGCTGTGGTTTTTTATACTACAAGAAAGAAGCAAAGCTTAATAATTAAAAATGGCAAGCCTGAATTACATAATATTTAACAAAAAATTAAGCAAAGCATTTCTTTAAAATGTGTAAGTGATAGAACACAATGACTTAGACAAGTCATAGGAACATCAGATCTTAAGTGATTTCAGAGTGCTAACAGCTTCCACTGAGCCATCCCACTTCAGACATGAAGCCTGGAATCCTAGTAGTTAGCTCTTTCTCATAATAAAAAAAATCTTCCTTCACATAATTACCAATGAAATAGTGGGCAGCATTTGAGGGGATGGGAGGGTTATGAACTGTAGGAGATCCAACAGACCAGCTATGTGCTGAAGCAAGGGGCTCATCTAATCATTTAAAAAATCCTCTCCTATGTCTACACTTTCACTGTTAGTTAGTCCTTTCTTCTTCCATTCATTGATGTTCAGGAACATGGCACATATCTTATCAAAGGAATGACCCTTTCCTGCCCCTGCCCCTGCCCAGAACCTGCTTCAACTATTAAAAGTGTATCCTAAAATGAGTTATTCTCTTACCCCATTAAGACAGCATACACTCATCTACACATTAGAACAGATACAACTGGAATTCATGTCATGGTTCCCTTTAAAAGTGATGTGATGGGCTAATGAAAATTCAACCTTTGTTTTTTACTTTAAAAAGTAAACTTTTTATTACATACACAACTATTGATAGATCTGGGCTTATATAACAAATTCAGCCTACAACATATTTGGAGGCAATCACATCATAATTGCTATGAACCACAAGTTCTTTCCCTTTTATATATGTGTGTGTAAGGCAGTGTGCATGTACACGTGTATGCACACACATGCACAAACAACCAGAAAACACTTACTTTATATTAAGTTAAATGAAACCATTTCTCAACATGGTTCCCACTTACGACAACCCTGTGTGTGTCAGAGCAGACCTACTCCATAAGGTTTTCAATCACTGAGTTTTTGAAAACAGGTCATCGGGCCTTTCTCCTAAACCTCCTCTGGCTGGACTTGACATGCAGTCCTTTCCATCAGCAGCTGAGAATTTAACTTTGTGCACCACCCATGGATGTCCAGCTTTATTTTACTTACTTATTCTTTGATCAAGGAATACTTATGAAAGAGGCCAGTGAATTCTGGTATTGATGTATAGGAACCCTAATCCTTTAAAATATCCAATTATAACATTAAATGGAATTTTATATGTTATTTCCTATCATGGAAGCATTCTTTAAAAAAGGGACCTAATGCTGGGGGCTTAAGTGGACAGGAAATGTTTTGAGAATGATGAGGGCAATGAATGTACAAATGTGCTTTACACAATTGATGTATGTATGGATTGTGATAAGAGTTGTATGAGCCC